ATGTCTACTGATCAAAACTGCCTAATACATTTCTTCAGACCTTGCTCCCACAAAAGGCAATTGTGGGATGGGAAAACAGCAGAGGTCAGGGAGGCTGTACCCTAAACTGCTAAGAGCAGCTCCTTCCAAGGAGCTGGAGGGAGGGAAGAGATGAAAGGGAGGGAAGGTGGGAGAGTTTCCAGTTGGGATTTTTCTTTCTCACTGTTAAAATTGGTTCCATGTTAACAAACATGGTCTACAATTTTTAAAAATCAATAAAAATGAATTTTGAAGAGAAAGAAAATTACCTTATGTGTCACAATGAACACATCAAAATGATACAACCAGAAGACTCAAAGACCCTATAGGGAAATGAGGTCTCTGGGAGGATGAGAAGTTGTTTGAACCTGGAATCTGACCCCCGAAGAAGGATGTGGCCTTTGAGACACTGAGTTTGATCCAAAAATGAAAGGACCCCAAAGTTTATAAATAGTTCTGAAATCAAGGCTAACAGAATGTGTATGTCACACCATCTAGTCACAAAAATATATGATGGACCACAGATGAACAAGAATAAATACGTGGTGGCCTACACACTATGGTATTAGAAGAATTCTTGGATGTCCTTTCTTTTGGGGACAGCACCTGTAGCAACAGATTCCCTAACTAAGAGGAACAATGGGAGCCTATCTGAGGCATGTTGCACCTGTTCCTGATTTCTGTGGCCACCATGACGCTAATAAGGTTCTGTATTCCCAGCTAGATAAATCAGGAACAAAATCTAAATGCATAGTGGAGTATGGAAATAGTCCCTTTCACTAATCTGTAACCCACCAACCCACAGGAACTCCACACACCCTTTTTCGTGTTTCTGTATTAACCTCAAGGAGAAGCAACACCTTAAAAATTCTACATCAGGTCTTCTTTATAAGTTATGGACAAAAGGCCAGCAAATCAGTCATGCACCTTTCCCTGACTAGTGAAATCTCATGGAATATTGGGTGTAGAACAAGGTGACAAGGAAGCAGGACTTCCATCCTGGCTCACCAGAGTATCTAAACGGGATGCCACATTATTACACAACCAAATAAATGCCAAAGTAAATTGAGTTTACAACGCAGCGGGCCCTGGCAAAGTGTTTGTACATTTCATGGAACACCAAGCACCCTTTCAAATGTTGCAGCAATCTGCCCAACTTCTTGGATTATCTGAGATTAAAAAAAGGGGAAAAAAATATAGTCTTGCAAACTACTTAAAATATCCTAAAGTTACAAAAATACCTTTTTTTCCCTTTCACATTCATATAACCTTTCTCCCAAAGCACAAGAGAAAATTCCAATGTACCATCCAGTCCAGAGAGAACAACGTGCCTTTACATTTTGAAATTCCAAGGTGAAGAAAAGAAGGGGATGGAGGAGGGAAGGGAAAACCTTGGCAATTCCATACAAAACTCTGAACAGAGAAATGTCTTCAAACTATAAACAAATGTCTTCAAGTTATGAGCTGTCAGAGCCCTTGTTGTGGGAGGGAACGAAGGGAGAAATTCTGATGAACTTGCCAGTCCAAGATCAGAGCAACCAGCTGCTCCTCCAATCAGCCAGCATTACAGATGAGACAGTGAGAACACAAGCCTGGTGAGCGTGCAGATGGTAACACAGAGCATGGTTCTGTGATGCTTCCTTAACTATGAGACCTGACCTGTGTCTGCAGGGTCTACCCCTGGTTCCTCTGCTTTTGTTTGAAAGAAGCTAGATCAAACTGCAAAGCTAAGGTGTGCATGACTCCCATGTCAACAAAACCCACCTATGGAAGAAACTGCTTCCATTAATGGTTCTTAATGGCTTTTTTGTTAGTTCATAATTTGAAATACGAGGTGTGTTCACTACGACGAATAATGCATTATGTACGCTAAGTGTTGGTTAATTTATGATAAAGAAGCATCCTTAAATTATAATACCCAGTTGAGTCGGCTTGTTCTTAAGAAATCCAGACGATATATCTAATACTTAAATATACAGCAGTAAGACATCAGTCCATATTATCCACCATGAAAGTCAATAATAAGAATAAAGCCACAAGGTAATTAAAGAAATACAGAAACAAGAAGCTAATCCTACAAAGCTTCGTGAATTTACAGACTAAACAGTGAAAACGTGAGGAATAAGTAGTAATGCGAATTTCCAACCTCTAATCTAAATTCCAAAGACTGGACCTAAGTTTACAGGAAACTGTCAACAATTTTTAAACATGCTTTATAAAGCTCTTTTTTTTTTAAAGCCTAACTCTGCCAAAAAAAGGAATTAACCTGAAAACATGAAGTTAGCTTTTCAAAAATCATTCAACCCACTGATAGTAAAATGTTGGTAATGAGTTTGCATGTGTGATCTTCCATCAAGTTCTCGAAAACCAGTAGGAGATGGGGAGATTTAACCAGGATTCTCTAGCACTTGCTACCACATCTGACTGTACACATCGACCTCCACTGAGAAGCAGGTATGTTCTGTTTTAGCAATTTAAATCTTCAAAAATTAAATGAAGAATTTACTGAGGCTACACTCTGAAAAAATATGTTCAACATAATCTATCATAATGCACTTAATTACTATACTTGCTATTACTCATTCCTTGAAAATGTATATTCATAAAAAAACGGTCCAAGATTGAGCAAATTAACTGTTTTTACTATTAACTTTACGATTTAACTTTACAAAATTACACTTATGATTTAAAAACCATAAAAGGGAAAAGAAAAAAAAAAGACATTTCTCTCACTTACCTTTCTATAGTAAGTCTTTCATAATACTATTTTCATATATAAAAGTTTTGAAAATATGTAAACTATTTTTAAGTACCAAATCCTTAAGTATCTGGAACCATCCCTTACATACTACTCTCCCCCAAAATATTATTTGAATTACTTAGAATGTCATTTTATAGGAAATTACATATTTTTATTTGGTCTTTTATCAAAGGGCACTACAATTTGTCTAGACAGCTATCAAACCCGTCCACATTGCTATGCAAACTATACTTTTTTTTTATATGACATACTTCACTACTTTATATACTGAAGTATAAAAATGCGCAAGTTAAATAAACTATATTCAGCTTGAAATACAGATTTACCAATTGCTCATTTTTAGTTAGACTGGGACTTCTATTTCTAATAATTTATTTGTGCTTTAACTTGGGACATTTTTCTGTGATACCTAAATTGAAGGTTGTAGCTCCAGCCACTGTTACCAGGACAGAGCAACATATAAGGAAAAATGGGTGTATTATTCAAACCACATAGTACAAGTTTTCATTCTAAGCATTTTCAAAATAACATTTTTTTAAGTAATAAAAACATTTAGGAATGATATCCATTTTAAGATGATACAGAAATGGTATTTCAACGCATTTGCATACGGGTGATTTCCACACCATCACATGTAATTGCCTTTACGGAAATACTGATTGCAATTAATATACTTTAATACAATGTGAAACATTACCTTTGAATTGGACACAAATCACTACTAGCACAAATCCATGTCATCTCTTCTACAATGTATCCTTCAGATTTAAAAAGTAGACTATTATGGTGAATAAAACAGACATATTTCTCCACATTTTATTATAATTTAATTCATATAACTTTAAATTCATCTAACTTTAAAAGGCATAGACAAAACAACTGTGATTCCTGTGAACACCAAAAAACTTGGTTTTTGTCAATTTTCACCCAAGCAGAATGGAAAGATTTAATGTATAATCTATTCCCAAAAGAAAACTTGCCTTTATGGGGGCGGAGGGGAGGGGAAAAAAATATCCACTAATTGTGGCAATATCTAGAACTTCAATCACATCAGAGTAATATTATATGCTAAACTGTTTGGATCTTTTTTGCCCTCACCAAATTTCTGCTTGTTTTTTCATGAAAGAGCTTCCTCATTTCATCACTACATCTTAAAAGAGTCTATGCAAATAAAAAACAACTGACTTTAAATTTGTTTTTCAAGAATCTTTCCCACTTCCTGGTAAGAATCATATATTGCTTCCAGTTAGAACACATCATCCCTCTATTTACTTTAATTGTAAATTTTAAATAGTGGGAGATGTTTTTATCCGAGCACACGAATGAATGCAAAGACCAACAATGAATCACCAGTGTGTAAAGTTCACATTGTTTAATGAACACTAACACTTGGGACTCTTTCAAATGAATCAATTAGGTGAATGGGTTAAAAAAAGGTTCTTTTAAGCAAGGAAGTTCCCTTACTTGCCCTTTTAGCTTTCCTTGCCTCAGTCATATTGAAGAGTTGGAATGTTTATCTTTAAACAAGGAGTATGTCCAATGTGATGTGGAGGACACACGTGTGAGATGGAATTCTATTCTTAGACTTGTTACAGTTTTCCCCAGTAATTAGGAAGCTATATGTCCATGATAGAATGATGCTAACAAGCTCCTGCAGTTTCTACTCTAGCAAGAAATCAAAGAGCCCCCGAACAGACCACTTCAGTTAAAGGATGATGCATTTCGGTTATTAAAGTGAAGAAAGCTCTCCTATAGTTTTATCCCAGAAGGGACTTTCTAAAATGGTCAGATCCTAGAGCCAAGATTGCTTACTAAATAAAGAAGAAAATTAAAAGGATCACCATGGAACATTTGGAGGTGGGGGAAAAAATACATTAAGTTATTAGAAGAGATTCATTTCAGGTAACTTATACATTTTGAAACTTTCCCAAAGGGAAAATATGGAAAGATATCATCACACCAGACGCCTATTCCTACCTGCTATTTCTCGTGGAACATCAACACTCTTCCCCCATTTAGTGAGGGCTACTACTCCATTACTTTGCGCCCTTCTTTGAACATGCAAAGCCATGTAGCATCAGTAGAGTTGGCACCGACAAGACAAATAGGATTCAGACGGGTTAATCTGACCAAAAACACATCGAGATAAATAAAACACCTAGGAAATGGAAAATGTTGGTCTGGAAGAGGGCTTGGCCCCGCCAACAAGAGCGACACGTACCTTAAGGACTTCCATCGGCACCTGGGTGGCAGAGGGAAGGGTGGTGGGCACGCTGACGTTTATGGCTGGGGTCGGACTCACAGGCACTCTCTGCTGCATGAACTGGGCGGCCTGCAGCTTCTGTTGCTGCTCCCTTCGCTCCTGCTCCTGCATTTGCTCACGCATGAGTTGCTGGCGTAGCAAGATGCGTGATGTCATACTGGAGGAGCTTATCGGAGGCTTGGAGGCCCCAGGATGCTCCTCGGAACTGCTGTGGGAAAACCAAAAAAAAAAAAAAAAAAAAGGCACAACATTTAGTTTCCTAATGAGACCTCTCGTCTGCATTTTGGGGGGTATCCTAAATTGCACCCAACTATGAAATGAGCCTGTGTGACTATAATCAAGTCGCAGAAGGGTACTCCACGTAATTGAAAATCAAGAGGTGACAGGATTTAAGTCATTAGGAGTTGAATTAAAATAAGTCAGCTTGATTGCATCTAGGCATTTTTATCATGTGGCTTAATTTTTTTTTTTTAACATTTTATACCACATACTACTCATCACCACCAAATATAGCGCCGCCATATGAAGTGCCAAGAAGCAGTGCGTCTTAATGGCACCCAGATTTCCACATTTAAAAATAAATTGCTTGATTTGCTTTTTCATAACTGAATCTAACCAAATAACTACTCCTACATGTTATCTAAATTCCTTGAAGATGTCTAAGATGTTTACTAACGCGGAATAACTTAAAGAAAAGGTGAACTTTGTCATGGGGAAATTCTGCGAGGATATGGGAAGTAAAAACCATTAATGAAAGAAGCATTTGGACCAGAATGTTAACACGGGGCTCAACTTCAGGCTTCGGGAAGGGGGCAGAGGACGAGCTGGTTTGACAACGCAATTCTCCTTCTGGTTTTCTTTGTATGGTCTTTTCTCCTGATTCATCTTGGCAAGCTCTCTCCTACACGTGTCTGCGAGATCCCCATGCGGCCTACTTCTAATGGTTTTGGTGCTCGCTCTATCCAAAATTACAGAAAAAGCTTAAACACTAGTCCTAAGTTAGGACGAAAAGACTTCCTAATTTTCCTAAATATGGATTGCGACTGCTTATCTTGCCAGCTCTACAGCACCAACAAGTTATTCAACCTCCCTCTGCCTTAGTTACCTTATCCGGGAAAGAGGGATAATAATAGTTTTTTCCACATTTACTCATTTATCAAGGAGAAGGGGTTTAAAAACTTCTGTTACATTCCTTACATTTTGTGGCCCTACCTCTTCGGGATTTTGTGAGGATTAAATAAAATAATGCACATAAATTGCCTAGTACAATGAGTCATGTAGTACTACCTCAATAAAGGTTTGTTGTTGCTATTATTATTAGCTAGAATTTTTCGTTATTTATTTCCAGCAATATGGTTTTCTTTAAAAAAAAAAATCTCTGTTTAGAGTAAACAGTGCAAAACCTTTTAGTACCTGGAAACAGAAAAGCAGTAACATTTGAGAAAATGTTCACTCTCAAGGAAGTCACTCATCAAGGGAAATATATGAAGCTTTAGCTTCCTTCCTTGAGTATAAACCCCAGTACTGTCTTTACCTTCCAACGAAAGACAAAATAAAGCCTTTAAGCCATTGGCCATCCTTATGAACTCCTTAAAGACAGGAACCTTCAAACTCTGCAGGTAACAAAACATGCTAACAGATGAGGAGATGTTTGTGTCCCTCACATGGTTCCAGAAAACTACATGATAAAAATTACACCAGCAGTTAACTTAGTACTCACCACAGGAAATCAATTCAGGGAATTATGATAGGATCATACAATGCAATACTATGCAGCCATTCAAAGTGCTGAAGAAATATATTTATGGTTGGAATTGAATCTACACAATATAATAAACTTAGAAACGCCAGCTGCAAAAAAAAAAAAAAAAGTGTTCGAAGTATGACCTAATTAAAAAAAAAAAATGTTCGCTACCAGAACAAGTGTCCTGATAATGCTAGTTTGAACCATTGCTGGCACAGTTACATACTACAAAAAGCACAAGAAAAACAACATTATCAAAAACCTGTAATACTATTCAGACAATCTGACTCAGAAATTTCATCGATGGACAGTTTTCCTAAAAACATAACTCAGAAATGTGGAAAACCTGATACTGCAAAGCTATTTACAAATTGCAAAATATTCTGAACCACCTAAATTTCCTCCCTAATATGAGAATGACTACATAAATTATTAGGGGAGATACTGGTCAAAAGGCACAAGCTTTTAGTTTATGAGATCAGGTTCTAGGGATCCAATGTTCATCATGGCGACTACAGTAATAAAACTTATTGTACACTTGAAATTTGCTGCAAGAGTAGATCTTAAGTGTTCTCATAGCAAAAAAAAAAAAAAGGAGAAAGAAACAAAAAAGAAATAGCAACTACATGATGGACGTGTTAATTAGTTTGACTGTAATCACTTCACAATGTATACATATATCAAATCATCACGTTATACACCTTAAATACATAAAACTTTTGTCAATTGTGCCTCAATAAAACTGGGGAAAAAATAAAGCCATTTAAAAGATTTAAGCATAAAATTGGTTTTAAAAAAGTAAGTTGTAATACATGAATTTGACAACATACTACTTTTTAAAAAAACTGCACAACTACAAAGTGAGAAAAGTGTATAATAAGAATAAAATAAAAAGTAGCAATCAAAAGTGTATTTATGTTTTAATTTAAAATAAGTAAGGTGTGTGTATGTATGTACACAAATACACATGCCTAGTAGGGATTGTATCAAGGTGATCTTAGCTGTCAGATGTAGAGTGGAATTAGAGGTTAATTTCTTTCTTTATTTTTTTTAGTTTTTCCCCCTAAATTATAATAAAGCCAAAATATTTTTTTTCAATGGCAGAATATATGTCTCTAATTTAAGAACATGAACTAATTTACAAACATGAAGGAATGACTTGGTAATCAAAGTCACCCTTCGCCTGGAGAAAAAGAGAGAGGGTCCATCACAGACTGTATTTTGACCGTAGGAAGGGAAAGTGCTGAGAGTATCCAGTGCCTTGGTTCTCGTGGACAACTTCAGCATTCCAGAAGACTTAAACCCTCTGTCCTTTACAGTTTCCTACAGACACGCACAGACTGAACAATGTGAATACCCTGCTTCTTATTTTAATATCATGCACTCATCCACATGGTAAGAACACCTAGACATTACTCAAAATAATCTATTCACCAGGTAAGGCTCTACTTAGAAGAACATAAAAAGCAAATGTATTTTCCCACTTTTGAGTGTGTGTTCAAAGCTCAAATGTAGCTTCTTGAACGAAGAAAGGAAGCGGGGGGGGGGGGGGGGGGAGCAGCTCTTAAAAAATAAATAAATAAATAACGGGTCTTACTATTCAAAGCCTGTCAGGTTAAAACATTCCCAGAGAGACTGATCCTTTTGATAAAAACAGGAGCAAACCTTTGTGCTGTAGCAAATGCAGCTGTGGAATAATCGCACTAATTAGCTGCTCAAGACAAGCCATTGGCTGTGATACTGGGGGAAAAAATCCTTTCAATTAACAGTAAAGCATTCTTGAGACATCTTAAATTAAAATTACCAGTTATCAACCACACTAAGGCTTCAGACTTTAAGTTCACAATGATATCATTTAAAGCATTTGCTGAGATAGCCTATCAGAAAAAAATATGCATATTTATACAGTATGCCCCTATAAATAAATTGAAACTCCAATAAAGAAATGTAGCAGAGCTCGGCTAATTGAAATTATTTTAATAAATCTTCTAAAAAAAAATGCAAAAGGAAGACTGCAGTCACTTTGCACACACTCCCTGCAGGGTCTCTCTACATTGTTAAAGACGACTCCCAGATCCTCAGCTTTACTTGACAGTTTTTAAAGACCCCTATCTCTTAGAAATAATTGAATCTGCAATTATAGACAAAAATGAAGATATCTACCCTTCAAAGTGTGAGCAGGACAAAGGAACATCAGGTTTTAAACTGAAAGTTGTGGTTTATGTGAGAACATTACGTGTGGCTACAAAAGCTTATGTGTAAAATGAGGACCTGATGCTTTCGTCATTAAAGATAAGCAAGGAGAGTCGTCCAGATGAATTTAATTTTAAAAGCTAACCAAGCTCATCCGGGGCCCATGGAGCGCAATCTGCATTAGGTAATCCTAATTCTGTGAGTCTGATTCCTTTTAATCAGATTATGTAAAGGTCATTTATTCAACAACTACTCAGTGAGTGTTCTCTCTGTGCCAGGTGCTCGGGATACCTGGTTTCTAATCTCACACAGTTTAAAGCCATGGTCACAGACATTTTTCTGAGATGCCCTAAAATTAAGTCAGTTATCCAGATTATCTGACTCTTAAATAGATCCACAAGGGAAGGTGTCTCTCTCACTGTAAGAAATCACCCTCTCAAAGCCAAGTGAAGGAAAGGCAAATGCTGTTACTACCAATTCCCTGGAGCACGGAAGCCTGACACACAACTTCGCCAAGAGCTGCCAATTTCTCAACGGGATTCAAGGAGGAAGGCCATCAACCGGACACAAGTTCTAGCTCAGTCACTGCTGAGCAGCCTGATCTTTAATGAGCCATTCAACCTCTCTGATCCTCTCCAAACCCCACCTCCCTAATGCACGGCTGTGACTGCGCTAATATTACCGACATTAAAGTCCCCAACACAGCAACTGTTAGATGGACACCAGGCAGCCACCCATGGGACCTGAGTTCCCACCTCCATGGCTGAATTTGTATTTTAACCTTCAAAGCCTCCCCCTTCTCTGGGATGGTGCAGGTATGTGGACATGTGCTCCAAAATATCTCATATATTCCTATATTCAAACAGTCAATTCCGTTGCTTTCATTAACCTCTTAAATATATCAGATATTCCGTGAAATCCAAATGACATTGGCCCAGCCAAGATACCTTCATCCTTGCCAGTGATGCCAATATCCCTTTAGTAGACCTTATGGTTCAGTTTGGTCTCCATATCATGGTCATCCAAGGTAGGAAACCGGATGCCAGTTGAAATGTAGTCTCTAGGCTGAAGGAGATGACACACTTTTTCCTGTGTTTCCTCTCTTCAGTTCCTCAGGCAGAGTCCAGCTCTGCCACTTACTAACCTGTGACTGTGGCCAAGTCAGTCAATGCCTTTGAGCTTCAGTTTTCCTTATTTATAAAGACTGTTTAATACATCTGCCTGTCAACATGGTGATGAGGATTAAAATCTATGATAGATGTAAACAAAAT